ATAAAAAATAAAAAAGAATTTGCTTTCTTAATCCGCATTTGGTTCCTTAGGAAGTGCGAAAGTAGAGAGAGGAGACCATGAGGGAGAAAAGGAGGTATGAACGTTAATGGCGATGAGCAAATCGATTCTAGGAGAAGCATCAAGAAAGGTCCCAAATGAATAGCAAGAATATCCATGCGCAAAGTATTTCGATGTGGGCACACCTTCACAATACCCATTTTGCTCCTCCTCTTAAAACCCAATAACATTTTCTCTCCATTTTCTTCTATCGAAAACAAAAGACTTTCTCTTTAGGTTAAATCCTCATTTTGGTACTTCTATTTTAATAAAAAGTCTTTTTTTAGTCTCTTTACTTAAAAATTTTCATTTTTAGTCCCTAAAGTTTGAAATCGGCTCCATTTTAATTCCTTTGTTAAGTTTTCCATACATTACACATTAGATGATAGAAATTATAAAGTAAAAGGACCAAAAGACCTTTAAAATGGGTTAAAAATAGCCCTAATTTGGTTCTCTATATTTGAAACAAAGCTCCTTTTTTGTTTCTCTTCTTTAAAATTTCTGTCATCTAATGTAAAAACTTAACAAAAAGACTAAAAACAGACTGGATTTCAAACTTTAAGGATCAAAAAGGCATTTTTTTAATTAGATGGACTATAAAGGAGCTTTTTACCAAAGTAAGGGATCAAATTGGGGTTTTAACCTTCTCTTTTATCACCCAAGCCTCTTGTTTCTCAATTGATGTCAAGAAATCAAGTAGTTGTTCCAAATTCAGGCGTACTTGATCACCTCAGGTCTTTTCCAGGAAAAATTCTGTGGTATCCCAAGCCAATAAAAGCATGTCATCTCTGCTCTTTTGTTCAGATGATTGATGAAGTGTGAAAAAAAAATGCTAAGATGGTGTATTTTTACTGGCCCAGTTTGGGCTGGTAAAGTTTTAAAGCAATCTTTGGATTTACCCGGTATTAATTACACAGTCTCGATCTTTCAGTCTTTGGGTAATGCTGATATTTTTTGTGTCAATATTGTGATAAGGGGTACTTTATTAGTTTAGTTCCGCATCAAGCTTTGGTATTCTATTTTCAAATGCTGGTAGATGGGTTTGTTCCAAATAGCTATACTTTGTTCCACTTTTTGGATGTTGTGCGAAGTTGGGTTGCATTGAATCTGCAAAGAAGTGTCATGGGCAGGCAATTAAGAATGTGATTAATTGTGAGTTAACGGTACTAAACTCCTTGATTCACATGTATGGTTGTTGTAGGGTCAATGAGTTTGCAAAGGTGTTTGTTGAAATGCCACAGAGAGATGTTTTCTCTTGGAATTCAATTTTAGATGCATCTATAAAAAATGGAGATTTGGTTATGGCTTGTAAGCTGTTTGATGCAAAGCTTGAGAGAAGTATAGTTTCTTGGAACATCATGATTGTTGGTTATTTAAAGGATGGAAACCCAAGGTGCACTGAAATTGTTTAGAAGAATGGCAAAATTGGGACTAAGAGGGAATGAGTTATCCATGGCTACAATACTTAGTGCTTGTCGTAGGTCAGCTAGACTGAAAGAAGGAAGATTAGTCTATGCATTTCTCATCAAGACCTTGCACAAATCAAATATAATTCTTGATGCAACATTAATAGATATGTATTCTAAGTGCCAAAAGGTAGAATTAGCTTATAGCATATTTGATAAGATGTCATATGGGAATCTGGTTTGTTGGAATACTATGATTTTGGGGTGCTGCATTCATGGGAATGTAGAAGATGGGCTCAAATTATTTGCAAAAATGGTGGGCGACACAGCAACAGAAGGGAATGGCATTTGTCCAGATGAATTCACTTTTGTTGGTGTTCTGTGTGCCTGTGCTCAAGCAAGACTTTTAACAGATGGCAGAAATTATTTTGGTCAAATGATCCATGAATTTAGTGTAAAGCCTAATTTTGGACATTTTTGGTGCATGGCTAATCTTTATGTCAGAGCAGGTCTGGTTCAAGAAGCAGAGGAAATCTTAAGAAATGTGACAATGGATGAAGAAATGTCATCAGAATCATCATGTGGGCTAACTTGCTAACTTTATGTCATTTCAGAAGAGATGTTGCTTTATGTTGTACCTATGATTTTGATGATTACAAATCACATTTGAGTGATTAATTGGTTCATTTAAGTGTGTAATTAAACTTCTAAAAGATTGCAAATGTAAGTGAACTTGGATTGCACTAAAAAGAACTGAAAAGGCTGAAAATGTGCAGAGAGCCAGCTTAAGGAAATTTGCAGCCAGCTTTGGAGGGCAAAAATGCAGAAAGGCGGCTACAACTTTTAAGAGCTGGCTCTACAGGTGAAAATTTGAAGTCTGTTGTTTGGCGTGCACGAAAAATGGATGCTAAGCTGGTTTTAACTTTGCAGTCGGCTGAAAGGGCGCATTTAAAGCACGACAGTTGAGTTATTTGAAGATTAATTAATGCTTTTAAAGTCAAAATCCCAAAGCCAGCTTTACACTTTGCAGCCGGCTGTCCAAGAAAACAGAATGTGTAGGAAACCCACAAAGCCGACTATAGATTTTCTTAAGCCGGTTGTAGAGTCAGCTCTAGAAGTGTAAGCCGACTGCGTTGACAGTTTTGCAACTTGAATTATGTGTCCTGTAGAGCATTTAATGACCCCCAATGGCTAGAAACAACTATTTTTGAGTAAGGGGCTATAAATATGGTTGGTAACAGATCTAGAACAAATCTTAGGGTATTGCTTTGAATAACTTTACCTACCTACATGTGCTTTAACTTGAGTTTTTGATCTTTGAGATATCTTTACTTGTAATTCTCTTCTTGTTCTGTTTATAAGTGATTTTGGGGGTGTGATTAATCTTTCAAGAGTGATCTATAGAGAGGATTCTTGGAGTTTATATTGTAAAGGGGTGAGATTTGAGAGAAATACTCATTTTCTTATAAAAGGATTGAGTGGCTCTTTTAAGCCACCCTTATTCTTGATAATGGAAAGTATGGAGGAAATTCTTGGTGAGTGAAGGCAAGGTAGAGGACTAAGCTCCAAGTAGTTAGATCGAACCTCTATAAAATCATTAAGCAAGCTCTTCTTTCTTACTTTCTTTAATTCTTTGTTTTGTGGTTGCAAAGAAGAGGAAATTTTTGAACTTCAATTCACCCCCTACATTGAGCCAACACTTTAGGGGAAAGAATTGCAACATTTTTTTTATTGAGAAAAAACCCAATAACTTCTCATACTATCAGTTACTGCTAAATGTCTATGCAGTAGCAGGTCAATGGGAGGATGTCAAGAGGGTAAAAGAATTGAAGAAGAAAAGAAGGATGGGAAGAGTGCCAGGTTGTAATCTTGTAGATTTGAAAGAAATAGTTCACAATTTAAATGTGGGATTAAATGTGGGGTCTGATTGTGGAAACATGATCAATCAAGGTTATGGATACCATACTGGCTTAACTGGCTGAGAAACCAATGTGTTTATACTGCTTCAAAATATCCACCATTGAAAAAAAGTAGGATGAGAAACTGAGAACCCAAGAACAAGACATATACAGGTGATAGCTTTTTGTTTTGTCATTTAAACAAAAAGTTTCCTCCCAAAGAGCTAGATTATGCAAGGCTTACCCGCTTGTTATGCAATTTGAAGGCAAGGCTATGCAATTTATTTCAATAGTTGTGGGAAATTAAAATTTGTTGCTTTTGGGAAAATATTTGAAACAAATCGTGCCGATCTAAATATCAATATTTTTCAAATATTCCAGTGGTAGATTTTTTTTTTTCTTTTGTCTTTTACTGATTCTGTTTTCATACAGAAATTTCCTGCATATCAATGAACTTTGTTAATTTCATTTTGGAGTTCACATGCAATGCAAATGCATTTTTACTGTTTAGATGAGAATCTATGAGATGCTGGACAATATACATCTCGGTGAGCTTGAATTATGCACGGATTTAGAGACAAGGAATGAGAATGAGCACCATCCACTACAAGAAAACGCTTTAAAGGCAGCGTTTTTTTACCAGCATTTCATAAAAACAGTGTCATGGCTAAATCAAGTTTTTGA